GCAAGTCAACTGAAGATAGCCAAGCCATTCCGCAAAATAAACATGCATGTGCAAATGGATGCATGCATGTGTACACCCCCACAAAGTTTTGACTTCAAATTTCAGTACAACAGTGCAAAGGCATCAAATCTAACTATGGAAAAATAAGTGTGCATAATTTATCACACATACCTATGATATAATAGTTATATGGAGAACAAGTTTCTGATATTTTCAAATGGAAGTATAATAAATACATGGAATTATATTATCTTCATTGATATAATAAATAAACTACATGTTGTTACTATTGTTATAGGCTTGTGATGATGACTTCCAGTTGTTTTATATTTCAGATCTGAGTATACTCTAGCAAACATGGCCATAAAGACAGGGTTTCTTAGTTTTAGCTGTACTAGTGTATTTTACAACAGATAGCCAAAAGTTTCCAAAGAAAATAATCCGAAAGTGTCTATTAACCAAAGGGATTGAAATAATAACTGGCTAGTTCAGATTGCTCAACTAGTTTCAGAACTTTGTACTGGGAAGAGACAGCTGTGCCAGGATGCTTTTCAGCAATCTTGATAACAAGCTGCTATATTTGGCCATGAAAGTGGACTACAGTGCAGGGGAACTACCAAACTCTGGGGAGTAGGATGCTAAGAGAGGAATTATAAAGCAAAATAAATGACTATTATTTATTAAGTAATTGAGTCCAGATCCTTTTGATTAAATCAAGCAACCTACATTACCATTATATTTTTAGAACTGCTTGTCCCTTGAGATGAAAATCCTATTTTGCAGGAAGGAATGAGTCTATATTCCAGTAATCCTTTTTATAATGCTTAATAAGACACGGATGGAAGCTAACACTCCCTGTCCATCCCCACCCCACCCCAAATCCACATTTCTAGGCTAAACTTTGAAATAACAACAGTTTAGCACTATAAGACAAGTTTGAGTATACCATATCCACAATTAAAACAATTTTCCCCACTTTTTAAATTATGAAAGTCGGGGACATTGGAAGTGGGGCTGGAATATCACGATGGTAGCCATCATTGTGATGAAAAAAGGGATTATCCGCTTTCATCCATCATCTTGAATTTTTAACCTGTGCTGCAGATGCACCTGGTGAGAACAGAAGACCAACCAAACCTTGTTAGGGAAAGCCGATTAACTCCTTTCTTATAATAGTATTTTAGACTGTTTAAATACCCCAAATTTAGAACTTTAACCTAGTGCAGTGATAGCAAATATTTTGGTTGAAATGTTGAAAATTCAGAAAATGTAATACACACACACACACACACACACACACACACACACACCCCAAAAGAAAAGTATTCATTTACTTTTTTTAAAAAAAAATGCAATCCAATCATGTGTATGATCCCAAGAAAACACATTTAAAGAAAATGCATTATTAGCAGTTTTATGTTCATTCTCATTCCAAATTATCCCTAACGTGAAATTTTTTGTGGTCAAGCACTTTGAGTCAATCAATGTATCTTTTTCTTCGACTTAAAACAGTACTATCCAGTCAATATTTTATTGATTTATTTTTTTAAAAAAAAAAACTGTAGTGCATCTAGAGCTTTTAGCCTTAGGTTTTGCTGTGCTTGATTATTTCTGCATTTTTGATATCTAAATTTTATTTTGGAACTCAGTAGTTCCAATTTAATTAAAGAAATTTAAATATGATTTTGGTTAATATCCTTCTCTTTCTTGTTTATTTCTTAAAATTTATTTGGCTTTTATAATATTGCTGCAGCTCCAATCCCATCAATTCTGGCAATGTAGAAATAAACAATTTCCTGCCTTTTCCAGGAAAACTCATACACAGAAGAGAAAAAGCAAATAATTCCTTACTTATTTTAGATTAAAAGACCTTTTGCCCCAAGTGGCCAGTTATAGATATTGCAAGTACAATTGCAGGCTTAATAATAGTAGTTGAATAATAGCTTCAACCTATTGCTCAAAGATTGACTATTTCAAGAGATTCAGACTTAGTAAGAGAGAGCCTTCTTTTCCTGGACCACAATCACAGATCCTAGATTGCCAAATATTATGTATGTGGGCTCTAGAAAAACAATAAGCAGTCAGATACCCCGTCCCACTCTATCATCATCAATGGATTATAAGTCCAGATAGTATGAGTAATGACAAGAATTGTCCATTAAGTTGCTTACTCAGACTTTGATATGTAACAACCCATAAGTTTTATATAGGGTTTACAGAGGTAAATCCTCTCATCAATTTTATATTTTGGAGTTACATTTATTCTTTTTGGTATAAAATCTTTGTGATGGCTTGGCTGATCCACTCCATTTCAACTTTCATTTTCCAAGTTTTTCTATCAGGGACATATTAGAGGGCATGTAGATATGAATTCTGCCTTAATACAAACATTGTATCCCAAATATTCACAGCTCTACAAAAGCAAGCTGGGAATATTGCAGGCTAATTAAAAGTGCCATTAGTGCTGCTGCCTCTTGATCTGAGAATTCTAAAATTCTGGTAACTCTAATTAGCCAAGACATTGCTACTCTGGAGATGAAGATTTTATAATAGGCTAACCGTTCTTATGCTTTTTAAAGACGATGCACTTATACATACGGTATTTAAAACACAGGTATAAGAGTAGAAACAGAGATGGGAATATTATTTATGAAAAGTGAAGCTTGAAAAGGGTCTATCATCTGGCACATGATAGTTGAAGAGGGGTCTTAGAAAGTAGAAAACGGGAGGGCAGGAGTAGCACTTAGGGATGACAGAATGTCTCCCTTTTTTGTGAATGGATTTTTGTTATTGGCCTGATGTGTTTTCTGACTCTGTTCAATTCAGTTTCTGGACTGTTGCCATCAAAGTGTTTCTTTCTTTTCAAGAATTTTGAATATGGATGTGGCACTTATTTCTTAATTAGCTTGGCAATATAAATTGCCTACAGGGAGTCCTTGACTTACAACTATTTCTTTAGTGACCAAAGTTACAACAACACTGAGAAAAGTGATTCATGACCATTTACGACTGTTGCAGCATCCCCATGGTCACATGATCGGAATTCAGATGCTTGGCAACTGGTTCATATTTATGACAGTTTCAGCATCCTTGAGTCACGTAATCAGTTTTTGCGACCTTATGATCAGCAAAACCAGATTCACTTAACAACTGCAGTGATTCAGTTAACAATTTGGCAAGAAAAGTCATAAAATGGGGCAAAATTCACTTAACAAATGTCTCTCTTAGCAACATAAATTTTGTGCTCAATTGTGATCATTAGTCGAGGATTACCTGTATTTTATTGTGTATAAATATTATTAATATTGATTATATTTCCCATAATTTCTTTCCCCATATGAATAGTGATCCCCAATTGTCTAAAAGGGTTCTGAAGAAATATTTATAGCAATTATTTCTGAAGGAATACCTAGAAAATAGGTTATGCCATTAATATTGTCTTCACGCCCAATCACCACTCAGAATTAAAAATGAGTGTGTTTTGAACTATGCAAAAAACAAAACAAAACAGGAAACCCAAAGTATCTCTTCTGTTGAGTGTACAAGGAGGAACAAAATGTCCCAAGAAAAGAAAAGCAATGAGACAAGTGGTAGAAAAGATTTAATAATGTCATTTAACTATATAGGTTTTAGATTTTTTAAGCCAATGACCTTCATTGGGATGTATGAATAAATAATCCATATGCTTATTCTAAAATTAAAAAGTAAACCTTATTCAGCCAATGGAAGGAAAAAAGAATACAAATAGATGTAATTCCAGAAATATAAACTCTGCTTTCTTACTGTACTTCATAAGAGAATAAAAACACATAATGTGAACATCCTTTGTATTCTGGGAAGTTTGTAAATGTATCTCAAGCAGGAAATGATGATTTCTTGTACTTTTTTTCTACACTGAAACATTATTGTGTCAACCTGACTATATACACACATGCATATGTGTTTGAAGAGAGAAAGAGAAAGAGAGCACACAGATTTAAATTATTTTATAACTGAAATAAAGAGGCTGAATTTTTAGAATTCTTCATATATTAATATAAGCTTAGATTTACTTAAATCATACAACAAAGCCTGATGTAAACAAATATCATTTGCAAGAATACCAAATTTTGGTATTTTGTTCAAGTTAATTATTATACTATTTTGTTCAAGTTAATTATTATACTTTCAGTAAAAGGATTTTCATAAAAAAAAATTCTAATCAAATTAAATCTAATGTGTTTTCTATCTAATTAGTAACTAACTAATTGCAAACGTATTACACGTAGGGAAAATTCTGGTGGCTTCATTGAAGGCTAACCTTGTTTCCTCACAATTTCATGCAATGTCATTTGGTTTTCTGTTTTACAATAGTCTTTTTATTATTTGCCCACAAATTTAATATGAATTTTGAACACCTCTTGAAATGTTAATTATTGACATTATTTATTTATTTATCAAATTTAGAAATTGCTCATCTCCTTCACAGAAGGACATAAACTAATATCTTAAGCACAAGTAGTTCTCGAATTATGCCTATTGTTTCAGCAATCATTCAAAGTTACAATAACAATAGCATTTAGACTTATACACTACTTATCAGTGACTTACAGATTCAGTATATTGATCCCAACAATTTGGGTTTTCATTTTACCAACTAGGAAGGATGGAAGGCTTGAGCCGGCCAGGATCGAACTCTTGGCTATGGTCAGAATTAGCCTGCAATGCTGCATTCTAACCACTGCGCCATATGGCTCTATATCACAATATCACTGAATAAATGATAGTTATGATTAGTCCTTGAAGTTCCGACCATTGCAGTAATCCCATAATCATGCGTTCGAAGCTTGGTGCTTGCCAATTCTCTAGCAGCAATTCCAGTATGAGCTACAAAGCATTCATTGTGCCTCTAGGAAGCCCCCATTCATCTCTTTCATGCAGTTTCACCACCATCCAAAATAGCGCTTCCCACATAGTCGCGCCCTTCATTGGGGAGCCATCGTGGCTGCCACATCTCCTACCTTGTCAAACAATGGAATCTGCTGTGCCTTGCCAATCTGTCCTACTGTACACTCCATGGCCTGGGGGCTATCACTCCTAACACAGGTAGTGGAGGACTGGGCTCCACCGTCCTTCCACTGGAGAGGTCTGGCAAGGCCCCTTTAACAGAAGAGGTCCTGCTGTGCTCCCGCCCAGTGCCTGGATTCCAGATCAGCAGTGGAAGAAAGAAGACGGCAAAGGTCACCTGGGAGTGGCAGTGATGGTAGACTCAGTTGAGATAGATAGCAGGCAGCCAAAAGGGCAAAGGTGGGAGAGATAGATGGATGGAGAAAGTTGAAGCAGAGGCAGTTAGTGCAGGGCAAGGGATGATCTGGACTGCCAGGACTGTTCTCTCTAAGCAGCAAGATCACACGATGCTTTGCTTAATACCTGCTTTGCTTTTGCAAAGGAAATTCTGGTCCCAGTTAGGGTTATAACTAAAGGACTACCAATAGTGACATTTTTTTTGATAACGTAAGCACATAAGGCAGAACGCTTCCCCCACTGGATTGGAATCCTTGGTGCATCATACATTTTATATGATATTAATGTTATTCTATAGTATTGAAATACATTGGAAATAACACGTGGGTCAAATCATATACAAATCTTGAAGATAACAGTACGTTTTCACTTAATAGTGTAATAAATCTGTTGGCTACATCTTTGAATGGAGAGCCATTTTGCTCTAGTAGTTAAGGCATCAGAGTAGAAACTGGAAGATCATGAGTTCCAGGGTGGCCTTGGGGATGAAACCAGCTGGTGACTTTGACCAAGCCATAGTTTTTTTTTAGTCCTAGGAAAGAGGCAATGGCAAACTACTTTTGAAAATCCTTGCCAAGAAAACTGCAGGGACTTGTGCTGGCAGTCTCTAAGATTGAACAAGATTGCAAAGAAGGAAAAAAGAACATGTCCAACAGGGAAGAGAGTAATGTATTAGAAAATTCCTAATTTCACTGAATTTTGGATAAATTAAGCAAAGATAATATTCCTGATCCAATCTTCATATTTTATTAAAGTCTTTAAAATTTGATTAATAAGTAATCTTCAATGTTCTGAAATTCTGAATTCTAAGGACTGCCATGTAGAACTTTATGCACTGGTTTATAAAATTATTGTTTTTGCATAAGTCTGCAACAAGCAATACTGTAGCAGGTGCCACATTGGAGCTGGCTTTAAGCTTGTTGATGCCAATCTCTCTCCTCACCCAGTGCCACACGTGGCCCATCCCCATTGTGTTTGGCAGTTTGGCTGAGGCAGCCGCCACCATTATCTCAATCCTAACTTATTCATGGAGTAACCACTCCTCTTCCAGAAAAACTGCTGCAGCACAAATAACAAAGTTGCTTGGAAAGAAGAGCTAAGCTGATCTTGGGCACAGCACTGTTGAATGTACAAAGTGGCAGAGTCTCTGTCCTGTCTTCCCCCACCCAATATGAGTGGTCAGAGCAAGGCAGCACAATGAGCATGAGTTTGATCAGATTTGTCAACCTAAATCACATTAATAGCAGAAACACCCCTCCCCAGTATTCACTGTTTTAATATCTGGACTTTAGGTTCTTTGGAGTATAGTTTTATAGCTTAGATAGTATGTCACAAAAACCCATTCATGATCCTACTTTTCTTACTAGACTATTCTTTGAGATGTCAGTAATTTTGAAACTACATGATTATGCACTAGCTTAATTGCCTCTTAGGATGGCAGTTGCCTCTTGGGTTCAAGATGGTGTACTCAGTTATTTCTTAATGCAAAGTATATTTCTACTAGATACAGAGACACACTCATGCTACATGTCTAAATAATCCTGCCCTTGACTGAATGGTTAAGAGATAATTTATTTAAAAATGTATGGAGGGGAGGAAAGAGCCTTCATTAGGAAATGAAGGAACTGGTATTTTATGTCTCCTCCAAATCAAAGTTTTCATGTAACTTCCTCCTTCCTTTCCCAAAGTCAGAATCAGCCACTCTTCAAATATAGGGTGCCATGCTAAAGAGATATGGCCTTTGTAAAATGGAGTATAGGTAGTGGAAGGTGATGCTAAAATTGTAACCAATCGGAAACATATGTTCTCTATTTGTTTAAGTGTGTCACAGAGACACTATTTAAGACTTTGGAGGGATTAAACAGTGGGATGTGATTTTGTTTTGTTTTGGTACATACAATGAATCAAATAGGAGCTGAAACAGTCATACAGTACATTTTCAGGAAAACAAAGAAAGATGTTGGATGCTAAATTAATTTCAACTCTGCTACCATTTCTTATAAATCATGCAATACCAATGTTTATGTAAACTTCCCAGCAGAGTGATACTTTGCCTAGAGAGGGCAGAATACTGCCCTGCCTACTTACTCCACTTTCTTAATCTTGCTGTTCTTCTATCACCATTTAAGCCCCCATCATATTAGGAAGAATAAAAATTCACCAACAAAGAATGTTGATGAGCATTGATTAGCAAATACTGGTGCTCCTACTCAGGAAAGCTTTTTATCTTAACCCCATCAGTTTTATACAGAGAGATAATTCAGCATATTTTTTGGATCCTGGCTTTTCATTTCTTTTTTTAAAAAATCTCCAAATGAGGCTATTAGAGAAGACAGAGATGCTATTCACTACTTATTGCTACCCTTTTGGTGATTTTTCCTCTCTGTGTACTACTGATATTATAGCTTTCCCCTCTTTCTGTAGATCTGGACTACAACAATTTTCCTCCTCATGAGAACTATGGATGATGGGACCTGTAATCTAATATCTCTAGAAGGTGCCAATAAGGAAACTTCTCTGTAACTATGTAAAACGTTTTCCCGTTTTTTCACATAAAGAAGGTGAAATTCTTTTTTTTATTTAGGGAAGAAAGGGTGGAAAAAGACCGAGCCCAACCTCAGTACTATCCCCCTGACATAATAACCTGATCTTGAAGATTTCTGTTAGCATATGGACAAGCCAAAATGGAAGAAGGATGATGCAAAATATTTATTTTTATTTTGTATAATCCAGGTAATCCTGTATTTTACAACAGTTCATTTAGTGACCATTCAAAGTTACAACTGAAAAAAGTGACTTATGACCGCTTTTCACACTTACCACTTTTGTGACATGCCCATGGTCACGTGATAGAAATTCAGACACTTGGCAACTGACTCATATTTATGATGGTTGCAGTGTCCCGGGATCTTGTGATCACCATTTGTGACTTTCTGACAAGCAAAGCCACTGGGGAAGCCAGATTCACTTAACAACCGTGTTACTAACTTAACAATTTCAGTGATTCACTTAAGAACTGCAGCAAGAAAAGTCATAAAATGGGGCAAAACTTGACTTCCGGTGGTTAAAGCGGCGATGATGGCGGCTACTTTGTAGCCGTCCTTCTGAGACGGTGTCAGATCTGCGGAGCACAGCGTTCATCAGCTGGCTCGAGGTTCGAAATCCCCTTCCCGGGTGAAGGGAAGGGGTAGAGACTGCATGAATAGAGGTAGAACCTCTTAACCTTCCCTGGATTTTTTTTTTAGGGGGGTAGAAAGAGTGCTCCCTCGGAGTTCATTGCCTTCTCCGCCTCTCAGCTGTCTTTGCTTCTTCGGAAGCAAAGCAAAACGCCGCTACCATCTCCGCACTCAAAGCTGCTTGGTGAGTGACTTTTAAAGCGGACAGAACTGTTTAAAGGATTTTACTTAGAGTTAGAGATTTATTTTCTTTAATTTTTTCTTTTTAGTATAAACTGATTTTTTTTTCACTTTCTTTTCTTTGGGCGGAAAGTGAGAGTGAAAGTAAAATGGCGTTTTGAAAGTTTTTTTTTCCTATCTCGGGAAAGAAAAGACGGACTGATTGAACTGTATGCTTAACATTGTTTTTTTTCTTAAGTCTTTTTTCTTCTTTTAAACTGCCTTGGGAGTTTTTACTTTTATTGTATTTTTCCTGGTCTTTTTATTTGTAAGGATTTAAGTACTTTTTTTCCCTTTTTTAAGAAGAAAGAAAGATACTTTAAAATGGCTTCAAAGAGACAACCAGCTTCTATAGTTTCTAAGGTGATTTCTTCTCCTGTTACTGCAACTGTTCAACAACAACTTAAAGTAACACCACCGGTGCAACAACCTAAGGCTATATCTCCACCTTCTCCTCCCCCATCAGGCACATCTGCACAAGATTTAAAGGATATAATGGGAAAGGCTGTGTCTCAATTTAGGGAGGAAGTGAAGCAACTTCTGGAACAGAGCAAATCTGAAACTAAGGAAGAATTGAAGAAGGAAATGAAGGAGCTTTTTGTACAGAAAATGGGGCAAAACTTACCAAGTGTCTCACTTAGCAACAGAAATTTTGGGCTCCATTGTGGTTGTAAATTGAGGACTACTTGTATAAAAAATATTATAAAAACTATCTCTGTATGGATCACTTCTTAACAAATGGGTATATTTTGGCTTGTGGTCCAGAAATTGAACAGAAATATTATCCTACAACTGCATCTTCTATTATGGAGAAAAATAATTTGCACAACATCTGTCACATGTTTAAAGCACAAAGCCTTTGTTAGGCTCAATAAACTATTGGTAGCTGTAGCTGTTGATTTTAATTAGAGTCTGACAGCTCAAAAATCTGATTTGTGCTTTACAAAGAAAATGTGAAGTAGTTATTCTGCAGTTCACATGCTGGGACTGAAACCATTAAAAAGGTAGATTTGTCATTTCATTCTTCTTGTTAATAAATCTGTTGTGTAGATCACCTATTTCTCAGCTCTATCATCCTTTTTTCTCTCTCCTGGTATTGTTGTTGCTGGATATCAGCAAATATAAATACCAAATATAGATCTGCAACATTTGGAATGTATGTCTTTTGGTAATCTTCAACAATGGACTGAAAGATGGAGGATTATGAGGATTTAGAGAAATAAAGCAGAAGTTCTCACATCTCCAACAGCTTCTTTTGTCCTCTGGCTGTGGCATTGCTTGTATTTGTGGTAACTGAGTGGCCTCTCTGCTGTATGGGTTCAGTGCACAAAACAGGGAATTCTGTAAAAGGAACAGTTGCTAATCCTCTAGAGATTTGATGTATTCTGAGAACAGAGGTACTGTCAAATTAAGAGTTTCTGAAGAAGTTGGAAGATATTTACGTTTGCAAATCACAGAGTGGATGAATAGGAGGTGATATTGTAAACCACTTAGTCCAATGTTCT